ACAGCATATAGTTGCAATGAATCACGGAAAAAAAGCCTATGAAAAAAAATATAAATATAAATACATGCATACATAATATCTTGTGTTATAACTTTATAAGTTATAGTTTATAATTATAAATTGTTTTAAATTATATCATTAACTAGTTAGTGATATGTATAACCTATTCCGTCTATATTAAACTACATTTATACAAAAATTATACAACTATAAAAATAACAATATTATAAGTTCATACAAAACTGATCCGATGGTAGTACCTATAATATTAGTTCGTTGGTTAAGTTTAATACTAGGGGAATGAATACACATTGCAGCAGCGGACCCACTACTGTTTTTTTTTATCTTATTGATTTTAGTAACATCGGCTACTAGGCCATTAGTTATTATTATTATTTATTATTATATATTATATATTATGCACTATTTTTGTATTATGCTTTTTCAAATTATAATCAACGAAATATTGTAAAAATATAAAATAGTACAAATGTATGGCACTAGCATGGATTTTTATTTCCGTGGACTTTTTTCCATTCATTTATTTTCCGGGCTTTTTTCCCGTAGGCTTTCTTTTCACCTACCAGTTACAATTGAAGATAGGTATTTAAAAAATAAAAATGTTATAGTCGTCAAATATTATTTTAAATAAAATTACAGGGTTAGGTTAGGGTTAGGTTTGGATATAAGGTTAAAAGTATATACAGGCGCTTTAAAGTAAGTATTTTAATATAAGTTCTAGAAACTTACCAAAATTCACCAGTAAAAACTAGTCTAACGATTAGATAACCCTTATAGAAATTGAATTATGACGAAATAATTTTGTCAGATGAAAAAAAATGCTTTACTTTTAAAATGAAAAATCATAGGAATCGTTACATAATTTGTTTGTAATTAAATTTGAAATTGTTTAACTGTTTATTTTTTTTAATTGCTTCAAATGTAATTAAATTTAAATAATTTACCAGATAAAATGTGTACAGTCATTATTGATATTTATTATTTTAAATTAAAAATTATATTATGTGTTTATAAGAAATATCTTCTGGAGATAGTTTGAAGTTCCGCTTATATATATAGAAACATGTTTTCGTAATTCCAATAATACGGCTCATTGAATGGATTAACAATAAAAACACTGTTACATTAAAATTGTATAAGATAAATTTGTCTAAAATCTTAAGAAATCGACATTATTCAATGATTGATTAAATAATTGAAATTATAAAAAGTATAGAAAAAACTTAAAATTAATCATATAAAATATTAAACGATTAAAATAGAATATCAAAAATCGGGCTTATTACGATTCTAGATAAAATTGTCCTATACATTTTTTATAATGAGAGCTATTAATTACTGTAAAACCATTCAGTTAGATGTTTTATCGGAAGTATAAAATTATGATTTTAAGTAAAAAGTACCGTTCGACAGTGCCCTTCAGCACTCACCAGTTGCGTTCGATACCACAACTACAATGACCGCGGTATAGGTCAAAACCAGTTTTCCTTTGTTTCCTTGTGCATAATAGTGGCCGTCGGTAGAATGCCGAGAAGAAACCGCGATGACGGTACCAGGGCCACATGCACGAAATCAAAAAAGAAGGTTCATATACTCCATGGAATCTATCACGTTCTTGATACTTCTCAGACTATGATACTACGAAACTAAATACCTATCTAAATAAAAAATAATTTTAAATGGTTAATTTCTGTATTTAAATTCTGAGTAAAGATATTTTAATATTTTACAGTGGTCAATGAAGTATTGATGTATGTTGTTTTTTCGTGTGTGATGAGTGATGATATTTTTTATTGCAGAAAAAATGTTTTGATTTTCAACTTCAACAATTATAGTTCTGGTAAGAAAGTAAATCTAGTTGGTACTTTAGCGACGTAAAAATAAAAATTCCCAGTACTTTTCAGAATAATTAGGAAATATATGAATTTGTACGTAAAATTAGTTTTCCACAAAATTGAATATGTTTTTTTCATGTCACTCAAAAACTAATAACGTCAGTTACTATAACCTAGGTACTAATGTTCACCAAATGTTTGTATTAGAATTTTCTATACAAGATTAAATTTTCGAAGTATGTATATTTTTCCTTTTTAAACCATTTATTTATAGACATTTAAAGTTTTTTGAAATATCTTCAGTTTTTTTTCTATAAATATTGTTGAAAATAATCTTCACTTGACTTAAAACTATGAAAATTTACCATATAACGTTCGCCATAAGCTGGCCATCTACCTTTCCAAAAATATCAAAAATACACATGGTCACAATATTTTTGATGAACATTTTTAATTAGAATTTTGATGAAAATCGTCAAAATCACGAAAGCTTTCAAATTATTTTGGAGTTATAAATTCAAAGATTTCAAAATGTAATGCAAGATTTGTCATAAGTTTTTCTACTAATAACAAAAAAAAATATTCTGTAAATATCGATAAGACTTTTTTCGCCTTGTTCAAAACCGAAAAAAGTTAATAAACCAATACAAAAGTCTTCAAAATTTGTTATTATTTATAGCAATTCAATAATTTTAAAGATACATAGGAACGATTTTATTTATAAGCATTATTTTTAACTTTTGACAAAATTCGAACATTTGCAAATTATTTTGCATTACTAATGTTGAACTTTTTTTTTAGGGTTTAATTATCACTTACCACAGAATAGGATAAATTTATATTTACCTCGAAGTTGATCGTAATAAGTTCTTATGGTCTATGTAGCATTAATATTAAAATAGCACCGCCACCGTAAAAAAATACTATAAATCCACTAGTAGGCACAGCTAGTAAAAAGAAACTCGCACAAAAAAATAATTGCTAAACAACTAAATTATTATCATTACAATTCCCATTTTCATTTTTTATTTTACTTCTGTTACACAGTTAACAAACAACCAAAAATTTAGTTTTCGATGACGGTTAAAAAAGTTAAAAAGTTGGAAAGCGACCGTTTCCGTCCAGCGGGTGGTAAAGTGGAAATCCCCAAAAGTCCTTTGCGTATTCCTTTCACAGTTTCACAACCAGAAACTGAAATGTATAAGTATAAACTATAAGTACCTCAGTCTTTACAGAACATAAACTTTTGGTTGCATCCTATATTAATATTATAACCTCCAGTCCTTACTTAAAGGATACGTCGTGTGTCGCGTCGTGGTGATCAATTCGCATTGTGATTGGACATTGAATTTTTGGTTTCATGCAATAACCAAGTTGCGACCGAGTATACCAAGAATCGACTACAGATCAACTTTTAAACCATATTGGTTGCCAGTTATAACTATATAGTTACCACTTACCACTCACTCGCACCACACGAGCTGTGGCCTGTGAATGCCCCTTGACGAGTAAACATATTTTCTCTCTCGTGAAATTGTTTTCGTAGAATCTGGTTGTTGCATAGATGATAAATCCATGCATTATCTTTACTGTGATCGATGAACGTAGATGAGGCATGACAAAAAATAGCACCTACGTGTTGCTTGTAAGTGTTTGTGTTTGCATCTTGCATGTAAGCAATAATTTCAGTCTTGTGCGAAATAGTTCACTTCCCGCCCTTGCCAAAAGCCCACACAATATACCTACAATTACATGTCCTGATCAGAATTGAATAAAACACTGGGATCGTGTGATAAAATCGGTAGGTTTTTGAAAATACAACATTTCTCCTAAGCTGTTCTTACTACACTTAAAAATATCAAAAAACAAAAAAATTATAAAAAAATTCGTCGAAATCACGATACCTGATTTTTACTTTTGTAGTGTGGTCAACTTAATACGTTAGATTTTGAGAATTTTTTTATATTTAGTTACGAGTAACATTAACTCAATATCCATTTTAATGGAATTTGAAATAAGCACACAATTGCAATGGCGTCGAAAAACATAAAAATAATCAAAGGTTTCCCTTTCAAATTCTTATTAATATTATTACTTATATAGATCTTATGTGAGCCTTAATGGGGAATGGGGATAAGATAAAATTCTATTCCACGGTAGAAGTATTAGGTAAACTGTAGTAGTGTAATGGGCACTGAGCATCGGGTCTGTAGCAATCCTAAAGTATAAAATTAAAATTAACTCTGGTGCTAATAAAGTTATAATGATTGTCTTAACTTAACTTATATTGGACGTAAGGCCTCAGGAGTATATACAACACATATCAAATTCAAATGTTAACAACATTGGATATTTGAAGAAAAAAAATATAATTTTGTTGAGATTTGAAACTTTTTGCCAAAACTTATATTAATATTTTCTATACAACATACACAATTGCATTGTTTTGAAATCTTTAGATTAATTTTAAGCTAAATTTTTATACCATGAACCTATTTACACTTCATACTCTATGATAAGTCGGTATTGTTAAGTTATGACTTTATAAGTAAATCATAGGTAAACAAATTTTAATTAATAATAACAATATATTATGTGTGATTAGCTTTTAGCAAAATGAATTCAATCTACCACATTAAGAAATTACTAATATCAATATAAATAAATGACAGAATATCCGTAGAAATGTGGCTGAGCTGCCGTCTCCGTTCAGAATCATTTTTCATATTATGCAATTATTTTAATTAATATGAATTATAAGATCAATGACAAGGTACACTCTCACCTACTACACACCAGAGGGAATTTCCTTTTTTTTTAAACAGATTAATATTATATAATCTTAACTTCATTTTCTATTCAATGGTTTGTAAAAAATTGAACTATTGTATTTATATCTTTTTCCTACAGAATTAAAACAACTAAAATGTAAAACCGGTTGATGATATATTTCATAAAATAAAACACAAGACACATTTTAAAAAACATCAAAAAATTATTTAATATCTCAAAATATCAATTTAATAACATCAATAATACTAAGTACAAATATAACAATCAAGTTATTTAGTATTTTTAACATCAATATTCAATATAATTAATTCAATAACATATTATTTTATAAAATTTTAATTAGGATAAAAAACAATTTCATAATATAAAAACAGTCTGGAATGCATTGCAACTAAATTCGCTTTGGTTTTTCTCATAATTTCTTTTATGGTTAAGAAATTATATTTTTGAATTGTATTAAGATATATTATGTTTATACAATATACTTATAATAATACATTTAATATTAAATTATTATATATAAATTATATAAATATAATATAATGTATATAATATTAGGTTTATATTATAATTAATTAATGACTTAAAATATCTCAACCATCAGTCTTTTCTAAATATAATCACAATAAGCCATTTAAATTTGATTAGTACATTACAAAAGATTTAAAAAAATGTATTTATAGGTAAAATAATCGTATTTTAATTATTTCTTGAACATATGTTATAGCATATTTATAAAATAAGTTAGGTATAAGTAAATAGTGAAAATGTAAATGATACATTATCATGGTATTAATATATTATGTAGTAATAATTATCAAAATAATTATCACAACATATTATTTATATAACTAAATGGTTCAAATACTGAGTGTAGAACACTTCAACAAAACAATATATATTAAAAATGAAAAAAAAATTAGTTAATTGTCTTCCGATAACAAATTATTCATTATTGTTGCAAATAAGAACAGACAGTTTTTTTGACTTCATTGATTATAAGCAAACAATTAACAGTAACAATGTCTTTATAAATAGGTTGAACTGAAACATAAATTAGTATATTTTTAGAGTTATTTAAATTGTGAGTATGTTAAATAAATGAATGCTATAATACAAAAATTACTTACACATAAGTTTCTTAATTGGAAAAAATGATATCAAAGATTGTTCTTGTTTTTCAACTATATCCTTGATACTGGGATCTTTAATATGCTCTTTTAACTTTTTTAAAAGAGCCATTAAATCATCTACATGTTTGTCATTAACTTTTGAACAAAACACAAAAGCATGACCCATTTTATCAGGTTTCATTACACCAGTCTACAATAGAAAATAAAATAATGCAATTGAAATATTCAGCTAAAACAGAATCTAAAAATTATTATTGAAAAAATGTTAAATACCTTTAGGAACATATTTAGAAGTATTAAGAAAACACCAACATTCACTTGAGTAAGCAATGGATAACCAATTAGTAATAAGCTATCGGAAGTTTGAAGTTGTTCTAATGATTCTAAGATAGCTATCAAAGAATCATGCTGTTTTCTATTATTTTTGATACAATCACTGATATAAATCGATGTTACATCGCAAACAATTAATTGACCATTAATAGTCTGTCTTGGTATTTGAAGCCAAAAGTAACTGTAATCCATAGAAGAATATTTTAATATCGAAATCAAATTTAAATAATAATTTTACTCGTAAAGTTGTACATAAAAATAAACTTAAAACTAACTCTCTACGCTTAATGTTGTCTTCAATAGGAATAGTAAATAATGATCTTGCTCGGTTACTATAGTCGATTAATCTATCCACACAAAACTTAGAACTACGTATCACAGATACAGGTTTACCCATTTGAATATTAAAATCAGATGAATCAATTTTGGCATCCTATATGAACAAATTAAAAATGTAACCAATCTTAAATCATTTGCTAAGGACACAAAATAAATATAATTTCATCAAGAAATGAATATTTTTACTAATTTACTACTATAATATCACTAAAAAATTAAATGAAAAAATTAACCTCTTCGGTAAACCACAAAACTGTTGAGTCGTATTGCCATTGATATTCTTTAAACATATTCACTTCGTCTTGAAGTAACTTTGCTTCATCTGACGCCTGACATTCTATCCTACGCTGTTTCTCAGAAAATGAATAATCCATGACTAACTTCATAGATGAAACTTTGGGTAAATCATACTGAAAACTCTAATTAATTTAAAACAATTTAGTATCTATCAAATATATATAACTCACATTTTATCACTTAATTTGGTTTTTAAATCAAATTTAAATATTACCTGAAGTATATTTTGTCCAACTATTACTTGTGATGGGTCAATTGGTTTTATTTTGTATCTATAAGCATATGTTTTAGCGACCGAATATTGTAGATCAATTAAATGTTTAGTATCATTTTCATTTTTTTTAACAAATCGTTCAATATTATTTTCAATAACTTGCAATTGTAGTTCACTAAAATACTTTGAGCAGTTATACATAGATGATAAGAAATCTTTAGGCAATTCTTTCAATGGGAACAGACAGTGATCAGAGACACCTAAAATGTTAAAGTAAGTCATATGTAAGTAACAATAAATATTTATGGTTTTCAATAATACATACTGCGATCAATAGTCGAAAAATACGTATGAATCCAAGGTTCTGCATGTTGTAATCCCTTATATCCACAACATACAACATAAACTTCAGAATTTCCCTGCTTACTAGTAACTGGTTTTTTTATTTGGACCGAATCAAAAGCACAGCATAACAAATATATTCTACATAACGTATTACATTCAAACATAGTAAACATTTTTAGAACAAATGAACCACCTAAAATTCAAAAACATTATCAAAACCAAAAATTTATAAATATATCAAATATAAAAATAAACCTTCTTGAAGTATCATTAAGGCGACCATAGTCTCAACTATTTGCAGGCGCATCACAACATTTTCTTGTTCATCAGGATTATTTTGACAGTCCATACTACCATCAGCTGTTACCTGAAGATTATAAAAAATATTATTTAAAATAAAAAATAAACCAATAATTAAATGTATTATTTACCAAATTTGCTTCTTCGCCAAAACGGTTTTTAACAAAGGTATATAATTCTTTATAGAAGTTTTTTTGAAAAATATCGCCAGTTTGATCCTTACCAAAAAACCAATGGTTTAATGTATATAACATGAATCTATCATCATTTATTAAATCAGGATTACCGTTTCCTTCGTGATATGGATTTAATGAAACTCCTACCCAATCCCACTTGAATGATAAAAAAAAAATTAATAAAATAAAATAAGTCAATCATTAAGACTAATTAAAATTACTTACTTTAATGTTTATTTCTTGGCTAACAATATAATGGTTGAGAGCAGAAATAAAACCTCCAGGAGCTTCACATAAATGAACACTGTTCAACTTACCATTGTCAATGCTTTTTTGAGGTATTAGTTTATAGTCATTTAACAGTTCAAAAAACTTCAACCAAGCACCGGTCAATAATTCTGGATGTCCAATTCCTCTAACTTTAGATAGAACTTTACCAGCTGGATTTGTTTGTTTTGTATTTTTATGCCATTCAGCTAAGTTAAAATCATTAAGTTTATCCTTGACTGCGTTAAGTGATTTTTTTAAATGTATAAAATCTGGTAGCTAAAAATAAAAAATAAATATTTTACTTAATATATTCAACATACAAATTACACTAAAGTTTTAAAAGTTATTATTTATGTATTTTATTTTTAACTGATACTATTATTATATCTTTGTATGCTTTTAATCTATGTAACAATTATTATTACAAAGAAATAAAATATATTATTGAGATCTTGAATGCTAATAAAAAATATTATATATTTTTTTTATTTATTTTTTTTTATTTAATTTTAATTTCATACATATATACATACATATGAATACTGGGCCCCACTGAGAGAACTCGTGTGGGGGCCCAGGAGTTCAAAGATAACATTACATTTAAATTACAGATATTTTTTTTTTTTTTTTTAAATAAAAAAGAGAGAGAAAAAAAAAAAAAAAAGAAGGTTGTACATTCTTAAAAATATATAATCATATAGCTATCTATTATTTTTAAACTAAAATTAGATAAAAATTGAATATATTGTATTTATAAAGTATTGTAACAGATTATATAATTAATTCGTCATGAGACTCCAACATCCATTGCAAAATTCTTTTTTTAAATAAATTAACTGTAAGGGTTATTATTTCGGATGGTATTTTGTTACATAAATTTATACCGATTACTTCAAAATATCTACTAGTTGTTGTTTTTTTAGTTTTTTTAATTAAAAAATTGTTTTTTGCGTATCTTGTGTTGATACCATGCATTATGGGTTGTAATAAATTATGACTTTTTAAAAAAATTGCTGTTATTTTAAAGTATAGTTTCCTAACAGGGAGTACATTTAACTCTGTATATAAATTTCTTGTTGGATACATACGCTCTTTATTGAGCAGGGACCTAATGATTTGATTTTGACAAATTTGAAGCTGAGATAATGTATTTTCAAAAACGCCACCCCAGCCTATTATTCCATATGAAATTATTGATTCCACCAATGCCAGATAGATCTGCCGAAGTTTTGGTAATTCTAGAACTTTATTTAAATTTCTTAATATGTACATCATTTTTCGAAGTTTTTTCGTTAATAAATCTATATGGTTCTTCCATCTCATATTACTACTAATTTCAATACCTAGGTATTTGTAATTATATTTTATATTTATTGATTCACTTAAACAGTTGTTAATTTGTACACAGTGAATATTGTGAACCTTTATCTTTGTTTCGGTGGGTAACATACTATCTATTAAGGCATGAGGGACAACACACGTTTTTTCTAAATTTAAAAATAGATTATTTTTAGTTAACCAATTTTTTATTAATTTTAAATCTGATTGTATTATATTAAATATTTCATCCCAGGAATCGCCCGAACATAGCATAACTGTATCATCTGCATAACATACTAGCTGACTTTTTAAAGGGAGTGAGTGAATACCGTTTAGTTGTATGTTAAAAAGTATGGGAGAAACAACTGTTCCTTGTGGAACTCCACATTTTACAAGGCACAGTGAACTAATAGATTCATTTATTTTAACGCATTGTTTTCTATTACTTAGGTATGAAGAAAATAGCTGTAAAGCTTCATTTCGTAATCCTAGTTTATTTAATTTGAGTAAAAGTATGTTGTGGTCAACAGTATCAAACACTTTCGCAAGATCTAAATATACTGTAGCGCATTTTTTGCTTTCGTCTAAAGTTTTGTAAATGAATTGTGTGACCTCTGCAATGGCTTGATCAGTGCCTTTACCTTTTTGAAAACCGTATTGGGATTTATGAATAATATTATTAGTTTCTAGGAATGTTACTAGTCTGTCTTTAATAATTTTTTCCAATATTTTAGCAATATTTGAGATCATTGAGATTGGTCGGTAGTTATTGATTAGATTAGTTTCGCCCTTTTTGAATACTGGTGTAATTATTGACAATTTAAATAGATCGGGTACTATTGCATTAGATAAACTAAGATTGAAAATATGTTTTAATGGGTTTGCTAATGTAGATTTATTCTCTTTTAATAGATTGACCGTAATACCATCTAGACCAGGTGAGGAGTCATTTTTTAGTTTTGTGATTTGATTTATAATTTCACGTTCATTTGTAAGAATAAATTGATTAACTATCGGTTTACTTGGGATGTGGTCGTCGGATAATATGTCTAAATTATGAATTTCATTTTGTTGATTTTTTAATTTAGTAAGTAAATCTGATGCTACATTTATGAAGAAGTCATTAAATTTATTTGATATAATTTGACTATTTTCCTTTAGGTTTAATTCAATACCGTCATGTAGTATTGTATTTTTCATAATATTTTGTTTATTACCTCTACCAATGAATTTATTAATTAATTTCCAACTCATTTTTGGATTTCCATTTGCTTTTTCTAATTCTGATTTATAATATTTATTTTTGGCATTTCTAATTAATTGAGTGACTTTGTTTCTGAAGTTTTTATAATAATTTTTTAGTTTATCATTTGCGTTATGTTTTTTTACTTTAAGATGAAGAAGATCTCTATCTCTGATTGCTTTTATTAATTCCGTGGTCGCCCATGGTTTGATTTTTTTTAATTTCGAAGAAATTTTAAAACTAACAGATGACAATTTTATTATGTCATTTAATGTATTAATAAAACATTCAGTAGCGTGATTTACATCAGTATGTGCTAATATAGTATTCCATGATTGTATCCCATATATACCTGACACAATAATAAGATTAGTACTATGCAGTTTTTAACTGCTTAGAATTTCAAGACATTATATTATGCTTATGTTTTATATTTCTTCCTCATTCAAAAAAATTTAGAACATAGATCAACTATTTAGAGCCCACATCAGGATTATCTCATAGTAAAATAAGTAGGCACTTAACATAGATACTATTTGTGCAACAAAATCGATTGTTTATTCTTGCTTGTAAATGTAGTTCAAAATATAATATAATTACTTTGTGTGCTATTTAAATTTTAACTACATATTGAGTCTCCATTTTTTTAAAGGCCAACAAAATTTATTTTGTTTCAACTACCCAAGTCTATCAGACTCCATGAATAAAACTTTAACTCAGTAAAAATACCATCAGTATCACAAAATAAAACTACAGATACTAAATAATAATTATCAATTATTAAAAAATAATTTATTTTAAAATACCTAACGCTGACTTCTTAAGTCCGCCCTTGGCGACTTGTAGGTATACAAAATCTCTATAAATCATTATTTATGTACCTACATGGCTACATGATGTTAATATAGTGGAATAGTTAAAAAATTAATTATTCTTATTTTTGTGGTTATTGCAAATGTTATTCTCAGTAGTATACGAGTTCAAAAATCATGAAATTGTGTATACTGTCTCTTTCAACCAGACACATAGGTACATAATTCATTTAGGTACATTAAATTATTAGGTAGTAAGTATTAATACCTACATATCTTTTATACTATACTGCTATCATAATAATTGTAATGTTTTATCATTTTTATAGATAACAAGTCTAATTTAAAGTTATTAACTGGTTTTTTTTACATTAGTAGTCACCTATATTACTCATAAATTTTGTAGTAAAATAATTTAAAGTCAATTCACTTGGCAGTCTCGGTTATAATATTTTTCCTAGCATTTAAAAATACTCAATTATTAATATTTTTTAGGTAGAAGTAGGTAGTAACAAATTAATTATAATGAATTAATAAATTATAATTTTTAACTTTTCAAAACAGTAATAAATATAAAATATAATATAGATACATAGATAGTTATTGTGTAACTAACAAATTATGATAAAGGTTATTACACATAATGACCTTAATTTTCATATGCCAATGAACATTTGGATGTTTATAAAACATTGATTTATTAATGTATATTTAATTAATTTATGTACAAACAATACAAGAGTTAAAAATGGAATTCAATGTTATAAATTACCTCCCATTTACAGTGACTCAGCATGGTGTCCGGATTAGGAAGTTTCCACTTGCTTTGATTTATCAACGAAAATTGCTTATTGAACAATTGAATCACAACTTCGTCATATTGCGATGATTTGTTCTGGTAACCATTAGTGTTTCCGTGGTGTTTCTTCTCCCTGGTACCGTCGTTTCCCTGGTACTCGTAAGTAGTGTAATTGTTATTAAAAGAGTCTTGTCTTGTCTTGTCTTCGGTCTTTTCCATTTTAGTTTGCATTGCTCGTAGAATTCAGACAATAATTTACTCGTATTTGGCGAGTGGAAATGAAATTTATAATGTACAACAATAAATAAACAACATGAAATATTTAACAACAATCGACATTACATCTTGATCCCTAACAACGAATATTACGATTTGCGAGATAGAACTATGAAAAAAAAACCATAGAATATTTTGTGTTAAAAGTTGAAACGTCAAGACGTCAAGTTGTCAAAAGAATACCTATTAGATTTAGAATGGAATGGTCATTGGCCTGATTTTCCCAATGATAACAGCTTTCTACTGTTATCAATTAATAATATGATGTCGTGTCCGCCGCGCTATTTTCTTAAATCGTGTGACGGCGTGTCATTATTGGTATTTATTTTTATTATCCACAAAAAAAAAAAATAATGCATAGTATGTCTAGCTAAATATATATACGTATAATGTATGTATACAGTATACAATTGAACCTCATTAATCCCGAAGATCGGAAACCATCAGTATTCGGACTTAATCGAATGGCTGTGTAATAATACACATAGGTACCTATAACTATTTATTAGTATTATCAGAAAATTAGTATTTATAACTTTAGTCATTTAAACTTATTTGCAAGGCCAAATGTACTGTGTGTGCTGCCATCACGGTGTTGCATTATATCTTAAAATATATTAAATAATACATTTCTTTTTTTTTTACTAAACATAGTGTTTAAATAAACCTAGGCAACATGGCAAATTTCAAGGGTTAGTTTGTTTAACCCGAACTTTCATTAATTCGGACAACCAAATTACAGACCCAATTAGTTCAGACTAATGAGGACATGAGGTCTTAACTTTTATGGTATATTTATTTATTTATACATAGCCACATAGGTATATATATTTAGCCATACCTAGTAGTATGAGAGAGAGAGAACAACTTTTATATTAATAAGGCACAACATCGTTGATTCATGGGAAAACTTGAAAACAATATTAATAATAATAGTACAATTTTAAGTATTATATATACTTGAGAATTTCTGCAACATAATGACAAGAAATATTATAGTTTCAAGAATTAGGGGTCTGGGATTTTTGGTTACAGAATCAACTAATTGTGTGCAACTTTATTTTAAATTTTTGATCCTTATAGCTATAAAAGTTGAACATTTAATAAATATTTAACTAAAAATGGTTTTTCAATTTGATACATTTTGTCAACATTTGAATTTTAAATGATTATAAAAACAAATCATGCCTATTTATTTTTAATATTTTTTCACTGCTATTGTAACAGTGTATCAGGAACCTTGTATTACATTTTTAAGCTTTTTGACCCAACAAATAAAATTGTATTGGCATTTATAGAAAAATAAATAAAGCAATTGAAAACTAAAAACGTCCGTAAACAACTCAAAACCAATTCAAATATTTTGAAAATTTAATCGAGTATATGAATTGATAAAATCAACGTATGGTGTAAATTTAAAGTATCTACAGTTGTTCGTTTTTGAATTACAACTAAGAAAATCTTTTCAATAATCAATATCCAACGTTGTAAAAAGATCTACTTCAAACGGTCATAAAAATTTTATTTGACTATCCGGAAGATATTTTTTTTTTTTTTTTGATAAAGGTAGACAAACTTATTTGGAATCTTGTATATCTTGTGTAACTAGATTCACTTTTCTGCTAAAAAGATGCTATTGAAGAAAATCTAAGCATTTTTACCGGCCCAAAAAATGATGACAGACATAAAAATAAATACATCATTGTAAAATCAATGGGTGCATTCATTGATTCATACAGGTATGGTCAGAATCTTTTTTATTTTTTTTTTAGGTTTATTCTAGGATTTAGGCCCATTGCCGCTTTCGCTGTCTCCCCCCATGCTTCTCTCTTTTCTGTGTTCTGCTAGTTCTTCTTCATTCTGAACTCCCAACATTCTGAGGACTTCCTAGTTCTTGTTCCTATATCGACTCGGTCCTCCCATCGTTGCCTGGGCATTCCTCTCGGTCGACTTTTGTTCGGTTCCCATTTCGCGATGGTCAATTTAAGTTGGTCTTCTGCTTTCAAGACGTGTCCGGCCCATCTTTTTCTCTGACTCTTGAGTGTGGCAGCTTTATTGGGCTTATTAAATAGAGTACTCAGTTCTCTGTTTGATTATATTATTTTCGTTTCTCTTTGGTCCAAGTATTCTTGGAAGGATTTATCTTTAAAAATCATTAGTTTTTTCCTTAGGATTTGGTAGGCGCCCATGCTCCACAGGCATACAGTACAATTGGCCTAACGAGGGTCCTAAATTATCTTATTTTTGTTCTTCTTGATAATTTTTTTTGATTTAAATACTTAGACTAATGATTAATGGTCTGCAGAAGCAGAATCTTTAATACTATTATCTATTATTACCTCATATTATTTTATCTGTGTACCATGGGTAAATATTAAATTCCTATTCACAAATCAATAGGTAGTTGATAGTTTTAAACCATGGAAATATTAAAGAACATGTTTTGTATTGTGTCTACTACCTATGTTTTTAACAGAATGCACAAATATCTAAAAATAGTATTTTTTATAACAACTTCTATACCATTGTCAAAAATTAAATATAAAGCCAGATGTGTCGGGTCGACCAAGTAGTGATTGGACATTGCTTTTTTGGTGTCATGTAATAACCAAGTTAAAGCCGACTGCACAAGGAATTGACTACACCTCAAATTTTAAACAAATACGGTTACCTATTGTAACCATAGTTACCACGCCTTCGCAAGACACTCTTGGTTATAATGGTTACGTTTTGATGAGCCTTTAAAGGTATACTAGTATACCATAACCACAGATATATACTATTACTATTACTATATCTGTGACCAAAACAAGATCTTTGTAAAACTTTAAACTTCTATTACCGTGTTTTGGTAAACCAATCGGAAAATAGTTCTCGGACACGGCGTGTTGTGATTTGTGAGCCCGCCTAAAAGTCTTGTACAAAGATTGTGTTTGTAATTCTTTTGCAAATCACCAGTTGTAAGTTAGCAGTTGTTCAGTCAGACCTTCACCATAGCGACTTGAAAGTAGCTACTAAACAATAAACGCATAGACAAAGAAATTAACATCGGAAGAGTTAACGACTAAATATTTAAGCGATTGGCTTAAAGTAGTCCATTAGAGAAAAGTAACCACAAAGAATAAATAATGCCTTCAAAAAAGGAGACTAAAAAAATTAAAAAAAAATTGTAAGTATAGTACTGAGTCATCACACTTTACAAATTTACTGAATTTACTAATTAGAATGAAATATTTTTTTTCGGTTATGGATTTCAAAATAGAGCAATTAGTAATACTTTAAGACAATATTTTCCATCTCTATTAATAAAGTATAACCAGCATTTAGATCAATTGCCCAGAGAAACTAATTCCACCGACGAAAATTTAATGTCAGTGTTCAGGATAATGTGGAGCACTAAGTAGGTCATAATTTTAGATTATGATGCACATAAATCTTTGAAAATGAATAGGTTTTTAATATTTTAAGTATTGGGGTTAAAAGTAGCAGCATAAGATTGTATGAACATAAAATATTCATATGATCAATAAGAGCATGATTATTTGTCGTTATAGTTGGTAAGAACTTAAATAGTTTAATCTTGAATGCAATATGTATTAGGTACATAATATCATCAATAATCTTTACCCATCAATCAAGATTACCGAAATTATTTTATACATTAATAATTAAAAAATATTTACAAACAGTTTGTTGCTCAAGACTGTGATAGACGGTAATGCAGTCGGTGATGCAAGCCATAATAATATAAGTTGGATTCAGATGGAAGAAACTCTTAAAGAATTGCATAAAATTTTCTGGAAACTCAAGTATTTATAATCAATTATCAAACATATTAAGTAATATATTTCTGTAAGAGAAAGAATATAGTCATTAGGAACAAATAACTTATTAGTTTTAAAACAGATAGGGCATGTATATTTATTTTAATATAGATTCAATATGCGTATTATAGCTTGACATTTTTTTTTGAAATAACCATCACATTGAATATGTTGTAATGAATAATAATTGTATATTAATCAACAGTTTTTAAATTCTATTTTATGTTTGTTAGAGATTTTCAACAGAGTATTATTGTGTAACGAACATAAAATTAAATTTAAAAAAATATATCACTTCTAAGAGTATCTAAAGTGATTAACACACTAAAACTATCAATCTTGGTACTGAACGTGATAAACTTTAATTTTCAATAACCAAGTCTTAGAAAAATTGTTATTTATCAATTTATAAATTATATATAGATATCTAGAAATAATTAAACCTATATTATGAACTATTACAGAAACTTTTATATTTATTCAAGAAATATTTACGCTGATGTTAAACTAAACCCTATCTAACATTTGTTTTTCTATTTTTAAGCTCTCTAATAATTCACGAATTCCAATTTCAACCATGAATTCAACATATGGATATTTAAATAACAATTTGTTGTGTGGCAGTTCGAAACAAAATTGTTTAATTGAATCAATTTTTATTTATAATAACTTAAATAATCTTAATAAAATATGCATTGTATAAAAATTGATAAGAGTAATTGATACATATAATATATAATCAAGGTAAATTACCAACTGTTACATTATTAAAAAATCATCAATTATGTAATTATACTCAAGAACGCACTTCTTGTCTATCTAGCCATGTCCCAAAGTTTTTGAAAAGTCTAAAAATATTATATTTTAGTGTTAAATATTTTTATTTTATATATAAGCTTCTATTTTAATTTGAATAATGTATTATGAATTATATTAAGTTATAAAATAGCAGTTTTTTTTCAAATTATAATGTTTTGTAAACATAACTTGTAAGTTATTTATTTATTTTTTTTACAATTTTATTGTAATGGTTTAGACACAGAAAATACAAAATATAAATAGTATACCAAATATCATGTTATTTTAAATTTAAATTTGATATTAATACAATGTCAATAATAATGTATAAATAAAAAACATAGTCCATTTTACATCAATAGTTATTATATACCTAATCAATATGACTGACAGTTTGCCCCTGATCTGAATTGTTTTTATGATATAAAAAATAAAATGATTTATCATTGAATCCAAATTTAACAAAAAAAATTGAAAATTCCCAGTATATTTTAAAAGGTTTTTTTCAACAGTTATTTTGTTGTAATTATTTAAAAACATTTGTGGTCTTGTGGAGAACTTATCAATCGTATGATACGCAAAAACATAAAACTATTTAGATACATTTTAAACCATTTGACTGTTTCGAAATAAATATTTGAGACTTGGGTCTTTGGAAAGTAGTTATCTATACTAGTTTATAATTTATTATCCGGTTTTATCTTGATTATAATACTGTACATTTATATACAATAATTTACTTTGAACGTCTACTATCGACATGTTTACAATGCTGGGATGGCAAATGTAAGCTTTAAAAAAAATTAATTACAAATTACAAATACAGGTTATTTTTCGAACCCCAAATTCATAGACCTTATGCTAGTATGATTTATACAATTATACCAAGATATAACCTGTCTAACTAATATCTAAGTAGATTAGGTAAAACCTAATTTTCTAAGGTATATTTGTAATGAAAAATATTGAATCAATACTTCAGATTCTAAAAAATATTTAGATAAACTACCATAAAGTTTGGTTATCTAAGATTTTAAAAAAACACGAAAATGAAGATTTTAAATTCCACTCAACAAAATTATTTCAAAACTAAAATTTATAATAAATGTTGCTTTTAAATATTTTAATTTTTAATAGTTCTACTTAAATATGTTCAATATAGTATTATGGGAAACCTTAGGTAGGTTACAACCTTAGATCACAATTCATATATACCTTTGAAAATTAAATGGTTTTATTTTTATGTTTGCTACGATTAGTTTAAAAATAGCAGCACATAATTGCGTGATTTATCGTATTACTGTGGTGACAACATGATTGTTCAAACTATTCAAGTTCATCACTTTTTTTTTTAATAGAAAATTTACAATCTGTATTAGTATTACATAACACAATAAGTAAAAAAGATGATTGACATAACACTACATACATAGCAAAAATAACACATGAAGCACAAGATGAGGAAAATCATCCAGGGATGGTACCCACAAGTAATTTTTTTTATACATTAATAGGTCACGGCACCAGTTTCTTTTGAGTCGGCGCGGTAGGTAGTCAGGAAGGGTATGTGATACTAGATGAGATACTGAAGGATTGTGAAGTTAATCACCAAAAAGTTATTTTGAAAACAATATATTATTTTCTCATGAATGTGTTGAACCGGAATGTAGCTAGTGAAGGATGAAATAAATTAAAAATATGTATACATATGCATTCAACTCTTTAAGTACATTATAAAAACACCTGGAAGCTTAAGTACTTATGAACAATAAATTATCAGACATAAATATTTATATTATGGGCTGGGTATAATTTGCAGTGTTTTTGAGAAACTCATTAAAATACTATTTTTTTCTCAGGCAGGGTACCACATTATTTCGTTAAAGTATACCTTGTGCGTGGTTAATTGTTTATTGTAACTTAAATTAAAAAAAAACATTTTGACAATTTGAACTTTGAATAGATATTAGAGATTGAATAACATTATAATGATTCCTGTCAGCTTAGTAATTACTGGCATTACTTATGAATTTCTAAGGTAATTAATAATTATACAGAAGTATAATTATTAATAAATATAAATTACACAATTACAATCATTTTCTTACGGGAGTGGATACTACTATTTGTTCAGTTCACTAGTAAATGAGTATGGACGTATGGTTTGGTATAAATGTTGACATATTTTGTTTCATGCAATATTTAAAACAAATTAAAATGAAAGGGCAATATTTAAAAAAATTTAAAATAATTGTAAACAACATTATATGTCTAAAACTTAAAGTTATAAATAAGTAGCAAATAAAGAAAAAAACCATGGTAGTTGACATTACAAGACTGGGTAATTCCATTATATAGTCTGGGCAACATATAATTTTGCATACATTACACATTGAAATTGGGCAGTGTTTACATTACCAATTAGTCCATTTTTACAGTAAATAATATATGTATTACTATAGAGCCAACATAGTAGAAATATAGATCTGAAACGAATAAAAACACTAAATTCTTAAGTGTGTAATTAATTATTTTTTGAAATAATCATGATATTGAATAGGTAGTGATAAATAATATGTATATTAACAGAGAGTTTTTATACACTTTTTTTTTTTAGTTCAATATTTTCATTACCTAACATATTATTGTTAACTAAATATTAGAAAAATAACTATCAACCAAGTTATAAATTAAAAATATTTGAAAATAATTTACTCATACCAACTATAGCAAAAACCTTGAAATTTATCTTAAACCTTAAATTTTAAAGCTAAATATTATTGAAAATTTGAATTTCTATTTTTGAAGTGTACAAATATATTACAAGTTAAAATTTCACATATGAATTTAACACAAAATGTTTAAATGGAAACATGTTTTATTTATAGTAAATTTAACAAAATATGCATGTATAAAAATTTAAAAAGTTACTTATCAGTTACGATTAATGTGAATTACCAACTATATTACATTATTTCAAAATCATCTCTTAGGTCATTATACTCAAGAACACGCTTCTTGATAGCTGAGTTATCCACCCATGTCACAAAGTCTTCTAAAGGTCTGAAAATATTATATTGAACAGTATTAAATATTTTTACTCTATATACTTGTTTAGCTTTAGTTTAAATTTAATAAAGTATTGTCATTGTTTGTATTAAGTTTTAAAAATAGTGTTTTTTTAAAAATTATAATGTTTTTAAACATAACTAATACATTTATAACTATTGTAATGAGTCACACCAGGAAAATACATAATATAGATACAGTGATGTATTGCTAAACAAATATATTATGTATTTTCCTTTTTTTAAGCTGGTAAGTGACAATGGTAAGAACTTTATGATTAACTAAAAACAATTTTTTGGTTTCCTCAAAACCAATATTTTCTTGTAGTCATACTATGACTATCAGATATACATTGTGTACTTAATACTTAAAAAAAAAGTCTTTTGTGGATATTAGTTATAGTACTTTTTTAAACAAAAATCATGAAGATCTAATGTACAATTTAAAAGGAAAGAAAATTTACATTAAATTTAATATATTCATAAAGTTAAGTATCATGTAATATTTAATTCATAAGAAGTGTAAGTTAGATAAAAGGTTGGTTCCCAAATTTTTCTTTACTAAAAACAGAATTACTAAAATCATCTGAGAGTTAAAAATTAAAAATAGTAATTATAGAATATTTTGTTTTTGTCACTAAAAGTTTTTATAGGTATATGGTGTGATATGATCAAACAATCGAAAATCATAATTGTACATTTAGAGCAGAGGTTCCAAAACTTGTTATGATATGACCCATTTTGGAAATTATTTAAATTTTGGAGGCCCTCAATAATATCAATAACCTTTTTTTTTACTGTTACGAATAAAAATAAAGAAACATTTTGAATTGGAGAACAGTATATTTTATTTTTAAATTTTTATCTAGAATTCATTATAGCAATACATTTTTCAATAATTACTAATCTGATTGCCTCATATTTACACGGTTACAGTAAATTTGTAATTGTCACTAACGCAGATAACGATTTATGATAAAACTAAATTTAAACATCAACGAAAAGTAATGGAACACCATATCTAAAAAATGTATTATTTAAAAATGTAATGCAACCCACAGTTTGGGAACCTCTGATTATAGAGTATACCTATGCTAAAAAAAATCTAGTGAAGTGAGCATACGTTATGTACCTAACCTCTAACACACCAAAGGATATAATGCCATATTTTTTAAATATAAGTTGTAATTTCATGCAGGGTGATCCAACAAGTATGCTCACCCCCCTTTTTTCTTTAATGATGAAGTTTTTCAAAATCTGATTTTTGGAATCTTTAAATATACTCAAAGACCATATTTTCATATTCTTGAGATTTTTTGTACCACTTTAGGAGTGTCCTGTGGCAAAACAAATTTTTGTTTTTCAAATGGGAACCCCACTTTTTTTGCTGTAAATTATTTAGCGGATAATTTTTTTGAGAATTTTGATGTATTGAAATCAAAATTTGAAGTAGTTTTATAGTTATTACACATTTTGTGCTAAGGATAATATAGTTTATAATAGGGAAGAAGGATATGCTTATACAGTGTATGTTGTTACCTATAGTCTATACACATAACATAACATAATACGTAATTTTATATTTATTTAGTTGAACACTTAGGTAAATAGCAAGTAAAATCCTTCTTGATTTACTTAGTTATTTTTCTTATTCCATGTGTAGAACTGTATAAGCATATCCCTATTAGGGACTATTATTCTTTAGTACAAATTATCCAATAACTAGGAAACCACTCGTTCAAATTTTGATTTCGATACATCAAAATTCTCAAAAAAATTATCCGCTAAATAATTTAAAGAAAAAAAGCGGGGGTCTCATTTGGAAA